GAGAGAGAGAGAGAGAGAGAGAGAGAGAGAGAGAGAGAGAGAGAGAGAGAGAGAGAGAGGAGGAAGGCAAGAGGGGGAGATTCGGTTTATTTCTCCACAGAGGGAGGCAGGAGGGAAGGGAGGGAGAGAGGGACGTTCATCTGCCATGGCTGATAATCTAGACGGGAAAAGAGGGAGGGATGTTTGGTTTCTTCGTTGAGGAGGGGGAGAGAGGGGGATTCATGTTTTCCATGGGCGAGGAGAAGTCAAACGGGAAAGAAGGAGAGCTGGATTCAAGGAGGAAGATGAGCAGAGGTATACCATAGTTTGGGGAGTAGACGGGTAAAGAGGAAAGTATGGTCGGTTTCTACGTTGACGAGGGGGAGAATGAGTGATTCATCGTTTCCATGAGCGAGTAGAGGTCGGACGGAAAAGAAGGAGAAGTGGATTCGAGGAGGAAGAGGAGGAGGTGGCCTATTTACCATGACATGATTTGAGGGGTAGACCGGGGGGTCCGGGGGGTCCTCCTGATGGGTTCCACTAGGCTGGGCTGGAAAAGAACTCTCCGTCCTTCCTGTAAGATCAGCCGGACGGGAAATATAGTAAATGAGATTTGAAGGTTGTAAAAAAAAAAAAAGGTTGCAAGGACGAAGCCGAGTAGCAGGCATGTGTGCGGGCCCCTTTAGGGAGGTGACAGGGTTTTTCGTTTTACCAAATTTGATTTTTTGCTCTGTTTTTTTTTGCTCACTTGCAGACACGTGATGAGGAGGAGGAATAGAGGAGGAGGTGAAGACACGTGTGTTAAGAATGATACGCTGCAGGTGGAGATGGTAGGAAGAGGAGGAGGAGGAGGAGGAGGCAGATTTAGGGTTGAGCTCCTGTTCTTTGATGACAATGGAGCAGAGATTGAGGAAGGGGAAAGTTTTGGGTGAGTTGTACTTTTCGTGGATGGGGTCTATGTACTCTTTCCCTGGACAGGAGAGGGAGAGGACGGAAATGGGAAAGATGGGGGGGGGGGAGGAAGGAAGGAGAACGAAACTTCTTTTCCTTTTTTGGAAAGAGGTAATTTGACGTGTGGGGAGTAAGACAAAGGAATGACCCAGAAAAAGACAAGAAAGGAATGATTGGCATGTACGGCAAAGAGGACTACTTTTTGACTTTGTGAGGAGGAAACTATGGTAGCAAACCCGTCCATGTATGTGGCTTCGTTCCCCTGAACAGAACGCACCATCACCATGACTGTATCGAACCCGAAGAATGGGTTGCATACAGGTTTTTCATTGTGCGATGTTTTACCGTCTGTCTTCCCGGAACAGAACGCACCGTCACCATGGCTGTATCTGACCGGAAAAATAGCTTCGGTACAGTCATGATGACCGGTAGGGTGCATGTGCTCTGGGGTGGTAGCAGTGGCAGTGGTAGTGGTGTGTACTGTGTGTTTGGAATCTTTGGATGATAAGGAGTCGTTTATGGCGTTCCTCCCCTCCCCCCCCCCCCCATCCCCACCCCTTCATTCATGTTTTTTAACTTTTTTTTCATCAGAGGTGGTGGCAGTTTGTGCACAGTTCTTTCTACTCTTAGGGTGTACTCACACAAGCTGTATCTTAAATGTATCTGACGCGATTACGGCTGCACCTGGATGCATCTGGCCGCAATTCCGTCCCGAAATAAGTAAAAAAGTTCTACTGTGAGTATGCCCTTAGTCGGTTTTTCTTCTTTTTGTTGGTCTTGTTTGTGCACACTTTTACCAGTACTACCTTTTTCTCCTCTTTTTCCAATTCTTGATTTTCTGTCCTTTTATGGCTATCCGCTTTCTGCTAATCTGTGGGTTGTGGCTTCATTTGCCAGGTACTTCCAGCTGGGAGATGCTGGGAGATCGAATGAAAAGGGATCCATTGGCCAATCAAGCACTCCCATTGGCCAATTAAACACTCCCATTGGCCAATTAAGCACCCCCCTTACTCCCTGTGACCACCTGGAATGGTTAGTATGAGGCTGCAACTTCCCGAGTGAATCGCACTTCGACTCGTGCGTCGTCACAGGGAGTGAGGGGGTACATACTGTCCTTACAGGGGGTAAGGGGGTGTGCTGTCCTTTCAGGGAGTAAGGGGGTATGCCGTCCTTAGCACTTTCTATGACACACACACACACACACACACACACACACACACACACACACAGACACACACACACACACGCACACACTACACACTCATGGCTCGTCTCAGGCGTGCTTCATTTTCTGCAATAGAGGTAAAGTTACTTCGGTTTTGGATCTACTCATCTAGGCGGAACAGGGGCCGCTGTTGTTGTGGTGAAAATCTATAACACACATCCTCGGTCGCCGCCTCGTCAACTACCTCCCCCTCTTCTTCCGTCTCCTCCTCCTCGCGTCCTTGTCCTCACATTCCTCTCCCTCGCCAAGGTCCTCTTCCTCATCCCCTTCTTCTTCGGCTGCCGCCTCCTCGTCCTCGTCCTCGCCCTCACCCTCGTCCTCGTCCTTGCATTCCTCCCACTCGTCAAGGTCGTCTTCCTCATCAGCAAATTCATTGTTAGATCGGCCATCACACAGGCCTCTTAGTCGCAGACGGTCCCCATCTCCGCCACCGCCTCCTGGACAGCAGCCTTGTTTGTACTTGAACAACAGCATGATCATCCTGCCCCCGGCATGGATTAGAGATCTGCTCCGGCGCCATGCTCGGAATCGCACAAATCGACGTCGTAGCTCACAAATTGACGTCGCGGCCAGGAATGGTACTTACCGAGTCCAATGTCCACGATGTGGCGATGGCAGGTATAGTGCATACTGAGTCCGGTGTCCACAATGCGGGGATGGATTTTTTACGACGCTGCAGGCCTGCATGTACACACCGGACACAAGGCACAGCCACTTGTGTGCAGCATTTGCACGACTAACATCCTCTACGAGTACAAGTGCAGCTGGTCAGCTTTTGTCCCTTGCATCTGACCTTCCCACTTCTAATCTGCTTCGCTCTGATTGCTTATAGCATACATT